GGGCCCAACGAAGACTCCAGCCCCGAACGCGCCCGCGCCCTTTGCTGCACGCCCGCGGCCCGCGCAGGAAACGCACAGGCCCCGACGCGCGAGTCGCGTGCCGCCGCCGCCTCGTCTCCGGCTGCGGCCTCGGGCAGGAGGAGGGGAGGAGGAGGAGGAGGAGGAGGAGGAGGAGGAGGAGGAGGAGGAGGATGAGGAGGAGGGAAGGAGGAGGAGAAGGAGAGGATGCGGAGGAGTAGGAGGAGGAGGAGGAAGAGGAGTAGGATGAGTAGGAGGAGGAGGAGGATGAGGAGTAGGCAGAGGAGGATGAGGGGAGGGGAGGAGGAGGAGGAGGAGGCGGGGAGGCGAGGAGGCAGGGAGGAGGAGGAGGAGGGAGTAGAGGATGAGGAGGAGGAACAGGAGAGGAAAGCAGGGCAGGAGGAGCAGGAGGAACAGGAGGAGGAGGAGGAGGAGGAGGAGGAGGAGGAGGAGGAGGAGGAGGATGAGGAGGAGGAGCAGGAGGAGAAGCAGGAGGAGGAGGAAGAACAGGGCGGCTTCGACCTGGGCCTCGAATCCGGCGACGACTTCAATCACGTCGACGACGACGACGACGACCTCGCCTCGTCCAGGCCCTCCGCGGCGACGGCGCCGCCGAGCGAGAGGGAGAGCTCGCGCTCCCACTGCCTGTGGGCGCGGTGAATCCGGCGGCGCGGGCCCTCTGCGTGGGATGCCGCGGCTGCGTCTGCTGCGCGGCTGCTGCTGCCACTCCACCTCCTCGCCCTCTGCGGTGCCCTTCGGCCTCGCTCTCCCCCCCTCCTGACGCTGACGCCTGCGGCTCTTGGGCCTGGGCCAGACTCAGCCACGCCCCCCCCCCCCCCCCCGCGGACTTCACCACTGGTGGTGCAGCTTGTCTTCCGCAGCGAAATCGCCTGAAGGCTCGCTGGCTCGTCAGTGTCGACCCAGGCGCAAAGGAAGCGGTGCACATGAACGCCAGAAGGAAAGTTGCGCAGAAAGAAGAAGATCTAGCTATAGATGTAGGGTAGGAAGCGCTCCAAGGTGATGCATTCCTTCCAGGGAGAGGGGCCGCTGGGGCCTCCAGCATCCCCTGGAAAGAAGGGAGAGCACAACGACAAACCGGCGACGACGGAAGGGCTGCGGCGAAAGCTCCCCTCGCGGAGCGGGGGGACAATCAAGGGAGAGATGACGGCAGCTGCAGCCGTGTGGTCTACCGACGTGCCTGCACTTGGGGTGGAGGGCGGACGCCCTGGCGAGGCGAGGGACACTGTGCTGGGTCCTGCGCTCGCCATCGCTCGGACGTCCGCTCCCCGTGCATTTTTCGGCTCCGTGCGTGTCTTCTTGTCGCAGGGTGGACCAAACATGCTCCGCGATGGTCTCTGCCGAGGAGACGCGCACACGCCCGAGCGATGCCAAGAGCGGCGCGGGCAGGGGTGGGCGATGGGCGGTGGCTGCCGGCCGGCCAGAGGGGCAGCCCAGTGCCCACCCTGCCCTCTGGGTGTACCACCCAGCCCAGTGCGTTATCAGGGCGCTCCCAGGGCTGGGCAGTCAGGCGAATTGCCAGACACGGCGCTCCCAGTGGCTCCCAGGCGCTCCTATAGGGCGCTCCCGCGCGCCCCTTCCATCCACGAGAGTTGGGGAGGAGAGGGTTACCGATCGGTCGGAAGAAGCAGGTAGAAGCATGAAGCAGGAAGGCGTTGAAAACACATTGGGTTCCGTCCGCCCCCTTGGAAGAGGACGGAAAAGGTGAGGCCTCTCGATCATTGAAGTAGGACGGCGCTGAAAGGAGATTGGAACCAGGTAATCCAAAAATACCTACTTCCAGCGGCCGATGGGTAACGGTGTGGGAAGTGACTGGGGTGGCATCTGGGCTGATGTGGCTCTTCTCGCGGAAGGGCTCTCGGTGCCTCCCACCCGTGCGCCCCACCCAAGTCCGCGAGAGCGTGCTCCTCCTGAGCCGAACACCTCCGAGGCCCAAGTCCCACCATGAACCCGAAATTCGGGCAAGCGAATGCCGAGGCACCCGCACTACTATCAGGAGGTTTGGAAGGGGGGCTCGATCCTGTGGGCTGCAACTGTATTGGTGTCGCCGCACGCCCCACTCAAGTTGGACAGATGCACATGAGAAATCAGTGTTCTGCCGGGTTGGGTGATGGATGGCGCTGCCGCTGCCATTCGTGTCGACCTGTCTCTGGTCTTAGCTGCCCACCAAAGGGTCCGCCCACACATAATGGAGCTAGTTCTGATTCGCTGCCGCCGTGGAGAGGTCGGAGGTGTGCTGAGTTTGCCGTTGAGGCTGGAGAGGCCCTGGCTCAATTCAGTCTGGGTCGAGTGGCAGTTAAGCGCTGTGGAATAAAAACGGGAAGGCGACGCACACGTGCGGAGCTACCCGCGAGCCAGCGACTGTAGCAGAACCCAGTTCGCCACCGAAACCACATCGCTTTCAGATGCGGGGCGCCGAGGGCCCTCCAGCGCGGACCCTCGTGAGGTGGGACGTTCGGCTCGCTGCCGCCGGAGAGGTGGGGAAGGTGAGCGCAGAGGCACTTCGGAAAGCTGGGTCGTGCCAAAGGCCTGCTGCGCTGCACCGGTGGGGTGGAGTCGCATGTCGCGGACGCCCCCATGGCGGTGCCTCCTCCTTCTCCTCCTCCTCCTCCTCCTCCTCCGCCTCCTCTTCCATATTTTGTCCCTCCTCCTCCTCCTCCTCCATCAGGATCTCCCTTGCCTCCTCCTCCTCCTCCTCCTCCTCCACTCCATATCCTCCTCTCCTTCCCTCTTTCTTCTCCCCCTCCTACTCCTCCTCCTCCTCCTCCTCATCCTCTTCATCATCCGCCCTCGTTTCCTCCTCCTGCTTCCATCTTTCACTCTGGCTGCTTTCAGATTTTCCTCCTCCTTCTCCCCCCCTTCCTCCTCCTCCTCCACCTTTTGCTCCCTCGAGGTGCTCTTGACTGCTGCAGCTCCTCCTCTTCCTCCCTACTGCTGTCGCTCCTGCTGCTGCCGCTCCCCCTCCCTTTCCCCAGCAGTGGGCACGCAACTGCGATGTGCTCAAGCTCAAAGCACTGACTGTGGCGGCACGGCTCTGGCCGACGCAAACGCAGGCAGAGGAGGAGGAGGAGGAGGAGGAGGAGGAGGAGGAGGAGGGGAGGAGGAGGATGAGGAGGAGCAGGAGGAAGGAGGAGGAGGAGGATAGAGTGAGGAGAAGGAGATTAGGGAGGAGGAGGAGGAGGAGGAGGAGGAGGAGGGGGGAGGCAAAGCGACACTGCCCCAGCCAGCAGCAGATGGAGGGAGGTCGAGGAGGAGGAGGGAGGAGCAGGATGAAGAGGTCTGGGCACAGCGGCCGCGAGGTCCCCAGACGGCCCCGCCCGTGGGCGCGCTGGCCTCTGCCTCGAGGCCTCCTGGTCCCTCCACTCCTGCCGCGCGGGAGGGGGGGTGGGGGGCTCCCCCCCTCCCCCTCCTCCTCTTCCTCCTGCTGCTCCTCCTCCTTCCCTTCCTCCTCCTTCTCCTCCACTTCCGCCTCCTCCTGCTGCTCCTCCTCCTCCTCCTCCTCCTCCTTCTGCTCCTCCTCCTCTTCCCCCTCCTCCTGCTCCTGCTCCTCCTGCTCATGCTCCTCCTGGTCTTGCTCCTCCTCCTCCTGCTCCTCCTCCTCCTCCTCCTCCTCCTCCTCCTCCTCCTCCTCAAGTGCTGCTGCTGCTCAATACGTCTCCTGCTGCTGCTTCTGCTCTTCCTCCTCGTCCTACTGCTCCTCCGCATGTCCTGCTGCTCAACCTCCAATCCCTCCTGCTCCTTAGGGAACTGGGGGAGGGGGATGATGCAAAGGATGCGGAGGAGCAGGAGGGGGGAAGATGAGGTGGATGGGGAAAGAGGTGGAGAGGGAGGAAAATGCGTAGTTCTAGTAGGGGGAGGAGGAGAACATTGATGATGCAGCTGCTGAGGGTACTACGAGGGTTGGCAATGATGACGGTTGTGGTGATGATGGTGGTTGTGATGATGGCGCTGATAATCGTGGTGATGATGATGGTGATGATATCGCTGGCCGTCCCCCCAGCGGACAACGGCGAAGCTTACGGCCGCGGGTCCGCCCTGGCACGCGCGGGCCGCCCCGAGCCTCGCGCGAGGCGGCAAATGGCCGCTCTCTGGCGGGCCCCCGCGACTCACGCCGCCCAGCGGGCCGCCCCGGGCGTGTGCCGCAAACGTCTGCATTGACCGGGGCGGGGCCGCGGGCCCCGGCCCGCCCCAGACTGTTTTTTGTGTCCCCCGCGCATCGACGCCGTGCGGCGCACGATCCGTGCCGCCCCGCGCGAGGCACGTGAGCCCACGACGGCCCTCGCGGCGGGCTCGTTGGCACGGCTGTGGGGCACCGCGAGCTGCGACCTGCGCGCCACGCCGCGAGGGCGCTGCAGGCTGCAGGGCGCGGGGAGAGCGAAGCGCCCAGGACACGGCCGCACTCTTGTCTTGAAGGGGCCCAGGGACACTCCTCCTTCTCCTCCTCCTGCTTCTTCTTCTTCTCCTCTTCCTCCTCCTCGCACACAAATCAATAGACACATCAATACATGGATTCTTTGTCGGCGGCGACGTGGAAGCGCGTAGCGTTGCGTAGCAACCGCCAGGTCGCGGAGGAGCCAATGGTGGACTGGTGCGCATGGACAAGGGCGAAGTGCGGCCAGAACGCGACTGCACGCGCCCTCGCAGCTGCCCAACAATCCTTGGGCAGGTGGCTCCCGCTTCGCGTCGCCGCGGGGTCGGCGTCCGCGTGGGCATGAGTGAGACGCCGCCCCGGCAACTACGAGGGCCCCAGGGGCGCGAAAAGCGACTGGGGAAAGGACGAGGCCGCACGGTGAACAGCAAGATCTGGGTCAGCCCCGAGGGCGCCTGAGACGAGTCGTCAGGCGTGGATATCGGGCGTCAGTGCAAGCGTCCTGACCACTTGTGACTGCATTGAAGCTACGAGGGCCCCAGGGGCGTGCCCAACGGCGGGCTCCGCCGGACAGCCCCTCTGCCTGGCCCGCCCCGCCGCGGCTGCGGCATCGCCCCGGCGAGCCCGTCGAGCGCGCCTTCCTGCGCGCCCTGCCGCCGGCCTGGGCCAGCGGCTCTGGGGCCCCACGCGTGATGCCCTTCAGAGGGCGCAGGCCCCGACTTGGCTGTCCCAAAACGGTGCCCACCCAGACATGATCGCGTCGTAAAAAAATCAGGACCAGAAGTTTCTGGCTATCTTCGGCCCCGGGGGGCCCTCGCCGGGCCTCGGGACTGTCAAAAAACGATTCAGGACGAAAAACCGGTCCCAGGGAAAGGGTCGGGACTTCCAGGGACGCCGTCCGGGAAAAAATCAGGACGTCGCATGTCTGGGCACCCTGTCCGCGGGCGCACCCTGATCTGGCGTGCACCCCTGCTCTGAGTTACGACAAGCTTACGGTAAGAGAATTACCTTCACTCCACGCGGTTTCTTGAATGGCGGTCCAGGTCCAGACAGAACGCACATGTTGCAGGAAGACAAGACTCTTCATCGTCTTCAACGCTGTCTGGAGTCCATGAGATTTGCTTTTTCCCTGAACTCTCTGCTGGGTGCACTTGCCCTCGCCACAGCAGCGCGCCCAGACGTGTGCTCCGCCGACCTTGCCGGCCTTGGCCCCGGAGGCCCGCGCGGCGCCTGCTCACGGAAGCCAGCGCGCCCCCGGGGCTATACGGGCGGCAGGCGCCGACGCCCGCGCGCCGGCCCCGGGGGCCAACCGAGCGGGCCTCGGCCCGCGACCGCCAGACGCGCCCAGGCCGCTGCGTCTCGCGAGGGGGCGCCTGCGCGGCCCTGCTGGAACCCTCTGCGGCAGCGCGCTGCGGCAGCGGCCGTGGCGGGTCGGGAGGTGCCCGGGCGGGCCCCCAGCGCTGCCGCAGCGGCCCTATAGAGCGCTGCGGCAGCGGCCGTGGCAGCGCGGGCCGAAGGCGCGCTTTGGTGAGGGCCAGGGCGCGCCTCTGCGTCGGCGGCGGCCGCCCGGGGTGTCCTGACGGGCCATTCTCTGGAGGTGCCCTGCGAGCGGAGCTCCAGTGGCTGCCCCGCCCAAGGCGCAGAGCTCTGAAGAGCTGGCTGCTTCAATCCTGGCGTCCTTCCTCGATTTCGGTCTCCGGGGGCGTTCGCTCCCTCCTCCCTCCTCCCTCCTCCCTCCGCTGCGGCCACTGCGTGGAGACACCATTTCATCGGCATTGGGAGTGCTCGCGTAACGCGGCCTGCACGGCCTGCTCTCGCAGTGATCATCTTCTGCCTCGCGCCCGTGCGGAGGCAGATGCAGCTGAATGTTTTTGGCGCTCCGGGGCGTCATCCCCGTCGCCTGGTCATTCCCGTCGCCTGGACGGCGGTGCCAGGCCCCGCGGAGGACCACCATCGGCGGCGGCTGCGACGGCGAGCCCTTTCTTGGGCGCGGCGCCGTCAGCGCGCCCTTGGCCTTGTTCGGCGACGCCAGTGGCGGCCCTGAGTCGAAGGACCCCCATCTCCGTCGCGTCGGCATCAGCGTCTGCCGACTGCGAAGCGGAGCAGTGGAGATCGCGGGCGCCGCCTTCGGACCACTGGTGGGGCCGCGGCAGACGGTGCACCGCGGAGAGCTGCGTGCCCTGCTTTTGGCCGTGCAGCTGTCGGCAGACGACGTCATCTTCTTCACCGACAACCTGGCGGTTTGCGAGGACTGGTGGCAGAGGCTCGATCAGGCCCCATCGGGGCCTGACGCCGACTTGTGGCACGCGCTGGGGGCAGCCTTCGCCCGTCGGGCGCGGACGGCCGTGACGGTAGAGCACGTCAACTCCCACCTCACGGTCGAGGAGGCAGACGCCCGCGGCATCCCTGGCGCCGTGCTGCGGGGCAATGCGGTGGCGGACGTGCTCGCGGATACCGCTGCGGCCGAGTGCCGCGTCGGCGCCGCCGACCGTTCGCGCGTTGCCAGCGTGGAGGTTATGGCAGGTCAAGTGCGCTGGCGGCTGCTGAGGTCGACGCTGGACGCGGCCGCGGCGGAGCAGCCACGGCGGCCCAAGCGCGAGCAGCGGGCCCGCGTGGCGCCGCCCGCGCCCCGTCTGGTGGCTGCTTTCAGCTCGGGCCATGCGCTGGCGAGCGACGGCCGCAGCTGCAGCTCGTGCCGATGCTCGGCGTCTAGCGCGAGCCAGGCCGAGTGGTTCCGCAGCCCCTGCCACGGCCTGCGGGAGGTGACGGCCGAGCTGGCTGTGCTGGGCGGCCCGCCCGAGGCCGCGGTCCAGATAGGCGGTGGAAAGGCGCACTGCACCCACCGCCTGGTGGTGCACAGGCCGCTGGGCGTGTGGTTCTGCCGGGGCCGCGGCCTCTTCGCGCACCCTGGCGGTCGGCAGCTGGGCGACGGCCTCCGAGGAGCACGCCCGCGTGGCGCCGACTGCCGCCGATCCGCGGGGACGGCCTCCGACGGCCACGGGCGCAGTCTGCCTGGATCGCCTGGGCCGTGGCCTGTGGCACAAAGCGGGCCGCCGCCCGGTCGGGCGCCCCGCGGCGTTGGCTGGCCGAGCGGACGACGACGAGGCCGACGGCCGACAGCCTGCTGGCGCGGGCCCCGCGGGGGCGGCGGCCGCGCGCCGTGCGGGCGAGGTCGTCGTGGCGTCTGCGCTCGCTCTGAGCGCCGCAAGCCTTGGGCAGGCGGTCTTCGGATGCGCCTTTACAGGACACACACTCCTCCTCCTCCTCCTCCTCCTCCTCCTCCTCCTCCTCCTCCTCCTCCTCCTCCTCCTGATCCTCCTCTTTCTCCCCCTCCTCCTCCTCCTCCTCCTCCTGCTCCTCCTCCTCCTCCTCCTGATCCACCTCCTCCTCCTCCTCCTCCCCAGGACGGCCCAACACGGATCTGGGACAGGAGAATGCCCCTGGGGTCGCGGGTTGCGAGGAGCAGGTCTGAAGGGGCCCAGGGGCGCACGAATAAGTAGACGCAACTCCCAGGATCCCCCCACGTGTTCCCACATTTTCTGGCGTGTCGTCTCCCCCCCACTTCCTACATTTTCCGAACGTTCTCTGGGAAGTCGGCGATTATTTGTGCCTGTGTGTGGTTTCCCCTCCTGGATGTCGGAGGGCATCAGGGGATGATGGGTGCGGGCGAAAGCGGGGGGGCAACACAAGGGGGATACGCACGTCTCGACTACGCGACAGGGTGACCCTGGGTAAACAATGACCTCTAATGCGCGGCTTCGTGGGGGCCGCGGGGGGACCAAACGCAAGCGCGCAAGACACTGCTACTGCATCGCGTTCGGCGATCGGGGACTCCATTGGGCTCGGCAGGATCCTGCAGGATCCTGCACCCAAGCCCGGATTCATGCGACTTTGGCTCTGCAGGATCCTGCAAGATCGGCGCTCTGACCGACCCCCGTTTGTTTTGACCCCCGTCTCTTGAGCCCCGATGGGCCTCAGGGAAAACTAGGGTGGGTA